CACTCACTCCACACAGAGATGGGAGCGGGGTCGCGCATGCCAGACCTATTGTGCATGTTTTTAGTGGTAGGGGAAACCAGAATACCCGGAGGAAACCTACGCAGACACGGGGAGAACATGCAAACTCACTCAGAAAGGCCCTGGTCCGGCCGGGATTCGAACCCAGGACCTTCTTGCTGAGAGGCGAGAGTGCTATCCACTCAGCCCCGTGCCGCCCAAGTGTGCCATACAAACAAATTTGCCTAGACCTCACAGGACACAATTGCACATCTTGGCGGAAGTCTGTGCTCAGCGAGTGCTCTTTCTAGTCACTGTATCGAGTTACCGTTCAATATCTAGGATGGAACAAAATATTTTGTGACTCAATATTTATCAGCTATAAATTTCCAAAGGATTAGTGAGACAATATTTGCTATTTTCTTGCTTTACGATACAATTTGAGGAAATGAAGTCAAGTTATGACTTTTATCATTTTTGTCATGTTTGTTTTATCTCATGACTTTCAACAATTCACTAAATTAGCATTATCAATGAATGGTCTTGGACTGGACACTCTGGGGGAAAGCAGTGCCATGTAAAACGGATGAAATATTTCTTTATTACTGTATTATTATTATTTATCAAGATTTGTTTTCCCCTGATATTGATAAATTTCAATGTTTTTTTTCTTATTGAAAGCCACACATTATGTCATGTCAGTTATGTTATTTTTTACATTAAAGACTTGAATTTCCATATTAATCCAAAAAGTTACACAGTTCACCTCCAACCAAAAATGTACATGATTCCATCATTTATCATATTACATTAAGAGTTTTAGTTATTGGTTATGTGTTTGATGCGTTTGTACTGCAAAAGAAAATATCCCTATTTTCAAGGCAAAATGTAAACTACGACTACGCAACAAATAACATTAAACAACAAACAGGAGCAGAAAGAGCGACTGTGTCACAAACAGTGAGTGATGCTTTGAGAGGAAAGTCCAGTCTCTGACCCATATCATGTTGTCACTCTGTCCCACACACTGACCCCTCCCTCTCCCTCTGCTGCAGAGACCAGAGCCAACACCTGGACCATCCAGCCATCACTCTGTTATTATGTCTTTATTTGTGGAATTTGTATTCAAGTGGAACGTCTCAATGAGGAATGCACAGCAAAATTATGAATACATCAAAATTAATATTAAAAAAACAAGATTGAGATCTTGAAAAAACAAGATCTAGATTCTTGCTAAAAAATAGTGGTGAAAGTGTATATGGCATTTTGCTAAAAAGAAAAATGTGGGTTCATCACAATCCAGAAAGAAATTAACAGGGTATCTAATTAAATCAATTGAACTAGTTCCTGGGTCTTTTTTTAAGCCAGAGAAGTGAAAAAGAGAATCAGCCCAAATCGTCAAACAGTGCCTCACGGGGCTCCACTATGTTTGCAAAAGAGTTGTTTTTATAGCAATGAAGACAGCTTGCTTTTTTTTATAAGTTATTACTTATATATATATATATATAAGTCAAGTTATTACTTTTTTTAGAACCAAAGTTAGGAAACCCAGCTTTACTTTACATATTAAATACATGTTTAAGTAAATGAACAAGAGCAATAAGATCACACTTACACAGATTAACTATGAATTTGATTTTCTTTACTTTGCCCAATGGAAAATGATAACTAGGATAATGAAGAAATCAATCAATAGACAAAAAATAGCCGTATATATATGCAGCCTTTACCACTATTACTCCTCTTTCTGCCTGTTGTGACTCTAGTGAGATGGAATGTTCCCCGTTTCCAAAGTGTCCTGGGAACCGGCCTTACAGCCACATCAGGCTGTAAATTCCTGTAGACTCAGCATGTTCATTACAGAGCCAATATAGTTCACCATCAACAAGGAGCAGGATTTATCCCTGTGTAGCCCTACTATGGATAATATACACCCTGATGTATGGCCTGCAACAGGGTCGGAGCATGTGGCCATTACTCCCACACATTCACAAGGCTCCGTCAAACCACTGCTGGACCCACACAAGCTGAAACCCACAAAAGCTGGTCCTATAGATCCACTCAGGCTGGGCCCATAGATCCACTCAGACTGGGCCCATAGATCCAAACAGGTGGTCAGATGCAGAGATGTTTGACCAAAAATAAAATGAATGCGTCAGTATCAGGACATTTATCAACATTCATGGACATTGGTCTCTCCCAGTGTTTCCCACACATAGACTAATCTGTGGCGCACCGCCACAGATTAGAGACCGCCCGCCACAAATTGCGTTTCGTATTATTATATATATATTTTTTTTGTTACGCTATTTAAAACATGCATCGTCTAGTGCCGCCGCAGCGGTCAATTTGACAGCGGGGAGGGGGGTTTAAAATGTGGCGGCCCTTCGTAACTCTCACTCAAGCTACGCGTCTCTCCCACATACAGAGACCTACACACACACAGCCCCTCCCCTTCGTGCACACCGCGTGTCTCCGTCTCCATCAGCGATCATCGCTGTAAGCAGCTGTGTCCGGTAATTTACCGCGGTAAAGTGGCCCGCATCTTTCAGCTCTATGAACATGCGGCCCGCATCGGGGAAAAGACGGTGCGCGTTTTGTTGAGAACTTACGGTAACAGCGGAACGTCCTTTCGGAGTCACCCATTTTTATCGAACAGAAAGCGCGCTGGGGTCAGGGAGACACGTTTTTGTGATTAAAACCTTATAGAGATGCCACCCAGTACACATAGCACCAGCCCCCTACGATTCCTCCGGCAGATTGTGAGTCCTCAGGAGGATAGCCACTCTATTGTTTACATGTATAAAGTACACAATTTGGTCCGCTAGTGCAATTTTCAAGTATTGTAACTATTTACTGGAATAAGGTGTGCGACTAATTTCACTTGACTCATGACCTTATTATTGCCCTCTGCCACTGTACCAAAGACCAGAAACTTTTACTGTAGAAATATTGAGAAATATTGAGGTAAAGTAGCCATTTTGGTCCAAAATACCTCCAAAATAGTCAAAACATGTCACTTTTGATCTACTGTAACTTTTTACTGTAAAAAGGTGTGCGACTAATTTCACTGGATTCATGACCTCAAGATTGTCCTCTACCACTGTACCAAAGACCAGACACTTTTACTGTAGAAATATTGATTTAAAGTAGCCATTTTGGTCCAAAATAGCCTAAAAATGGTCAAAACATGTCACATTTGATCTACTGTAACTTTTCACTGTAAAAAGGTGTGCAACTGATTTCACTGGATTCATGACCTCAACATTGCCTTCTACCACTGTACCAAAGACCAGACACTTTTACTGTAGAAATATTGAGAAATATTGAGGTAAAGTAGCCATTTTGGTCCAAAATACCTCCAAAATAGTCAAAACATGTCACTTTTGATCTACTGTAACTTATTACTGTAAAAAGGTGTGCGACTAATTTCACTGGATTCATGACCTCAAGATTGTCCTCTACCACTGTACCAAAGAACAGGAACTTTTACTGTAGAAATATTGAGAAATATTGAGGTAAAGTAGCCATTTTGGTCCAAAATACCTCCAAAATAGTCAAAACATGTCACTTTTGATCTACTGTAACTTATTACTGTAAAAAGGTGTGCGACTAATTTCACTGGATTCATGACCTCAAGATTGTCCTCTACCACTGTACCACTGTACCCCACTCCCCCCCCCCCCCGCCGACGACCACCACACATTGCCTTCAAACCTGTGGGAAACACTGTCTCCATATGGACCAATACATATGTGTATTTTCTGTGTCTTAACTATTGATTCTCTGATCTGTGTTGGTGATTTCAATGGTTTTGTAAAGTCCTCTCATGACTTCTGTTGTGATTTAGGGCTACACAAGAATAATTTGTATTGTGTTTCTTCCTGGAGAGATTTTACAAAATAAAACGAGATCTTTTGGTCAATATACGCTGATTTCTCAAGCTTAAAATGAATTGCATGCATTACTCCACACATTGTATAGAGGCAGGATGTTATAGCCAAGTTTTATTGTATAGCACTATTCATACTTTGTGTTGCAAAATTTAGCAAAAATACAATAATAATCAATACTAAAACTGTCTGTTTATTTTAAGTGTTTTTTTTATTTTTTATTAAATGCACATGTTTGAAATATATAAATGCAATCATATTGTTTATCACAATATATGTCTATATCTGGAACAGTCTTCTTGAAAAGGTGAGACAGGATTATACTCTGATAATGTTCAAATCCAGGTTAAAACAGTTCGGTTTAGCAGCAAACAACTGAAGGATTTACTGTCAATAGTATCTTATTATTAATTCCTTGTATAGTGCTTCTATCTTGTTTGGTTATGCACTTTGAGTTTACTTGTGTATGAACTGTGCAATACAAATAAACTTGCCATAACTTGCCTGTATCAATATCATCAATGGAAATGTATTATCGTGACAGGTATATTTCTAAATCATATGGCGACCTGTTCATTAAAAGAGCGTTCCATCTTTTAATGAACAGATCGCCATATGATTTTGAAATGTCTCCACACTACAGGTTGATCCTGAGCTAGACGATTCTCTCTCTGATTCACCATCACCATCACAGTGTAATAACATAGAAACAACGTAATAGCTTCATTCTGACTTCAGTGAGGTTACGGCCTTTATCACTGGCTTTTCTCTGTGCATTTATGACGCTATAGGCTCCAATATTGATCTCAGTCTGTGATGAGAGAGATGCGTTCAGGGCTCCTCCACCTGACTCCGTAAAAACAATAATACCAATAATAATAACATCAGCAGCCCACAGTGGACAGAGGACAGAGTCACCCCCCCCCCCCCCCCCCCCCCCTGGGCCACGCACGCTCAGGGACAATGGGTGAGGACAACAGGCTGTCGTGTACGTGCGTGTTTGTGTGTGTATGTGTGTGTGCGCGCCACTGTTGTCATTGTCTGGAGCCCTGTGTCACCTGTCACACTCATAAACAGATGTATGGAGGGATGCACGGATGTTATATAGACTCACGCGTTTCCAATGAAGATGCGCGGGTAGACCTCATTGAAGTGCTGCGTGGGGAGGCTGTAGAACCCGCTTGGGTCCGACACCAGCTCGTTGAGTTGTTGGACCGTAATGTCTCCAGAGCTGGGCGCCGGGAGCACGGCTGGAGAGGACGGCCGCTGCAGGGGCACTTTGCTGGGGCTGTGGTGCTTCTTCATCCTTCCCTTCTCCCTCTTCTCTTCTCTCTCTTCTTTCTCTCTCGGCTCAGAGCGCTCAGCTGCTGCAGGGGATGCGCTCAGCCTCCCCGTCTCATGTCTGCAGGAGAAGATGCGTGATCTAGCTCCACGCGTGAGTCGTGTCTGTCTCAAGGTGTCTCTGAGGCGCCAGCACCACCGCCTCCCGTGCGTCAAGTGCGCGTGTGTCTGGAACCGCACTTCCGCTGTGGATTTCAATGTTGAATGCGAGCTCATAAATGATCAATATGACCAGGATAAAACTAACAATCACAAATCTCACAATCGCAAATCTCACAATCACAAATCTCACAATCAGATTCATGTTCGGATTCTGTTTATTTGCCATTTGCAGTAAAACCACCTTGGAATATGTGAAAGATGACCCCAGTGTGCACCAAAACAAGCCAAAAAAAGTACAGGAATAAAACTATAAAGAAGTACAGGAATAAAACAAGCTCAGGAAAAGTTCAGGAAACAATTTTCACTGTGAAACCAATCAACAAAAAACACCTTCAAAAACAAGTGCAAGATGTTAAAGTGCTTTGTTCAGACTGATAACAGGTTGTGGAGAGAAGCTGTTATCAAATGGAGAGGTGATAACGTCACATGCGCCTGTCTGTATTTGTAAACAGGGATAACTTTAACTTTTGCCTATTCCATTTCAGACATAATGAGTACAATTTCAAATGTCATGTAATAAATGTAAACAAATTCTAAGTAAATCAATCTGAAATCAATCTGACATGCCCGGCATCTGAGCAAACGATAAAAGATACACAATCAAAAATCAAAAACAATCATCTCACAACAACTCAAGATTGATATCGATACATATCAGTATCTCAATCAATCATCTTCACCATGTGTCTGGAACTGTGGCTGAAATTGGAGCAAAGTTGTTCACATGTTTAAGGAATTCATTGGATTAATTGTATATTGTAGAGCTGCAACTAACGATTATTTTGTAATCGATTAATCTATCGATTATTTTTACGATTAATCGATTAATCACTTGGCTGTGAATTGTGTAGAAAAAAAATATTTTTTCATCACAAAAAGCTAAAGTGGCAACACTCGAGGACGTATTGATGGCGTAAACTTAAAGTAAATGTTTGTAACAGGCTCTTTGTGCTAATTCTGCTCTGATTGGATGAGACAGACAGATTATTATAGAAATTATAAAAACAAAGTCGGTTTTAATCAAAAATACTACATTTTCATGTCATTTTTGCTCTGTTTGAGTCCGTGTGAACCAGAAAACGATTAATCGATTACTAAAATAGTTGTCGACTATTTCAATAATCGATTAGTCGTCGATTAATCGATTAGTTGTTTCAGCCCTATTGGTACAATTCAAATGCATGTCCTAAATGCTTCCTTTGGACATGTTTGAAAATCTGGCGTGGTCAATCATAAAGCCTCGCATCTCGTCGGTCCAATAACTGTAATGTCACAATCAAAAAACAAATGAATCGAAAAGAAATCATACATCTCAAAATCTTCTCAATCTCTCAAATACAAATCTCCCAATCACTTTATTTCCCTGAGTCTCATCTTTCTTCTCATGATCAAAAAGTACGTGTCTAGTTTTATTCTGTAAAGCAGTTACTTAATTATTAACTTTCAATGGTGCTGTGAATATAAATTGTTTTGTTGACCCAATAAAAACACAGAATATAGAAAGGCTGAGGGTATAATAATTTTCTTTGTGTCTTCTGCATCCCCCTTGTAATGGATTCAAGACCAATAATTGAGCTACATCCAAATCTGAGGGGGAAAAAGCTCTCTTTGTTGAAAAGACAGTTGGTTTTATGTGTGCTTATTCATTTTAGTGTCATATTATTGAACTCTTCGTTCTTGACGACGCTCCTGTTTTTTCCGGTGCGCGCTCGGAGGTTTGCGCGCTCTTGACGCGGCTCCCGGACACACCCAGCGGTATGTGGCACTCTGGAGACCAGTGGATCAAAGCAGCAGCATCAGACTCACCAAGAGCTGTTCCTGGAGAAGCAAACAAAGAAAAAAACAAAGAATTATCAGGTGTACGTTAAGGCCTGATTCCGCATGTGTCACAGAGATGTTATTACCCAAATATACCATAACTCATCGAAACATCAACGTGATCCAATGATACAGATATATTGTTATAATCGCAATGTGTTCTACAAAATCGTCTACCCCGTGGAACGGCTTTCACGACTCTTCTCCAAACACATTTTCAAATAATTATATCATAATAACGTCACGATCAGAAAAGTTGCAAGTTCTTTCTTCTACCACTAGGGGTCACTTCACTGGGGCCACTTTACTGGAGCACTCCATATGTTATTGGCATCGATCTGTTTGTTTTATGCCTCTATTCTTTTTTTCCCACTCTGTAAATCTATATTCATTATTGTTGGTCTAGTGGTTTCTCAACAACAAAGGCGCTGCTGCTCCTATATATAGTAACGTTTTTTAAAAGAGTTATGCATGGTGTGATCACTTGACCCCTTTATCAGATCGTCTTCAGAGATTACAGATAATGTAAATAATCCAATGAGCTACGAGTAAATAGAGGCATTTCTGAAGTTCACCACTAGATGGTACTGTCTTCACATAGTTTTCACCTACCCAGACCGAAGAGTAGTTTCATAAGGCCTACAAACAAGCAATACCAAGGAATGTGTTTCATGGTTACATAAGGATATAGTTTAACCTACAACCTGAATGAAAACATATGTCAGAGTATATTATATATGCCCCACCAGATCTCATGAGGATTTACAAAAAATGTCTGTAGTCTGAGTCAAAAAAGTGACTAATCTCGTTCCTCAAGTGAAACAAAAGGGCCCCTCTGCTGTTATTGATATATTGATACCAGAGTCATGGTACCAGTTATGATTTTTTGTGGGTTTCCATCGTGATCCAAGAAGATGCAGCAGGCTTCCATGGCAACCAGATTTCTGACTCCATTGTGTTCACGCGCCGGTGTCAACAGAGTCATCTCCATCAACACGTATGTAGGCGTGCACGTGTTGGAGAGAGGGAGGACAAGGTCGATGGATGAGAGGCATGTGCTACTTGTAACGCAGGTCAGGAGGAAGTTTGGTGGAAAAGAGTATTTCTGTGTTGACACCTGTACCATGCTCAGAACATCCTCCGAGTGCTTCTGGTTCATCAATATGTACAATAGAGAGTCTCATTATACATGGGTCATCTGAAAATAAACTTTCCCTTGCTTTCTATACGTACTTGAAATGTTCTTAACGGCCTATAGACTCAGAGTTCAATAACAGACACAAAAGAGGTACGTTTTTCTTCTTCCCGCTCTGTTTTGAGCAGATAAATTGTAAGTTAAGTAGTAAATATTATATCAACACATGGTGAAACTGTTAAATGTTGCTTATGTGGGAGCGGGGCCTCCTGTACTGGCCCCGCTCCCATCTCTGTGTGGAGTGAGAGACAAATGCCCAAAAATTAACAATTGTAAACCGCTTTGTGACTCTGGTCTGTGAAAGGCGGTATATAAATAAAGATTACTTACTTACTTACTTACTTATGTATATAGCTATGTGTATGTGTACACTATATGTACAATATAATGAAGGTATGAATGTAACTATTTCTGCTTGAATGAATGAAATAAATACAAAACCCCATCTCCATCTCATTAGAATAGATATTTTCCTCATTATTTTGAACTTTTTTTTGTTAGATCTTGAGTTTGCTTAATTTTTTTAATACCATGCAAATTATTCTATGTCAAAAACGGGTTGTATTTTATAAGATAAGAAACTGAGGGTGTGCAAACAACAGGAAATGTGCAAAAAAGGTATTTTATGTACGATCAAAGTTAAAGTTAAAAGTCAGAGTTAAAAAGTGGTAGTAGTAGTAGTAGTAGTAGTAGTAGTAGTAGTAGTAGCAGTAGTCCTATAGTTGTTGCTGGGTTTCAGATGACTCACTATAATAAAACATGGGAAAAATTATAAACAATCAGGTTTTTCACTTTAGTTTGACATTTCTCATGAAAGAGGAAAACAGTGGAAAACTGGGTCATGCCACGTTTATGGGACGTCAACATCACATACAAACTAATGCAAAGAATAATGACCATATACAGGTATAAAGTCATATTTCTCAAGTGAATGTGATGAGAACTATTTTTACAGACCTGTATCTTCAATAAACTGCATCTAAAATCCAATATTCCCATACAAAACTAACTTCACTTCCAATAACTTTGTTTCTGAAGCAGTGTATAACCACTTACAGAATAATAGCTGCTCCAAATCTGTAAACAAAGGCCATTTCATCATTTTTTTCTTCTGAGCTGAGATTTTGCATTTCAATAAAAACCCAATCACTTGTTTTTATTGCCTTTAGAATAAAGCACTGCTGCCACCACGCACGGCAAATAACGCGACATAAAAATGCAAACAAGAAACATGAAAGTGGATTTGTGCTTTTACGGCCGTGGATCTGTCCCTGGAGCTTTTGACCAGCGAGAAGCATGCCATTGATTTAGCGAGACTTTTATTGACGCTTTTTCCGCTTTTCTCATTTTGAATCATGATGAGGCTTGACCACGTAATTGGACCAAAGCCACCTGAGTCCAGCTTCCACTTGAGCGACTCCGGACTCGGCAATTTCATTTAGAAAAAAATTATTGTTCTGCTTTGTTATTGTAATATAAAAGACAAGAGCAGCAGAGAAGAGGGCATCTGAGCCATGGCTTTGGAATTATAAGCTTTGTTTATTGTGGCGAGTACACTCTGTGGTAAAACAGTGCTATTGGTGGTTCTCAGATTGTGCAATGGGATGATGTCATTCTCCCAGATGGACGGAAAGATAAGATCCAGTTTCCCCAATCAGTACAATTACATCTAAAAAGGCACATTCACATCTGATCATTTCTATTAGCTACTGGACCCCAGAACTTATGCATTACTGCACAAAACACAGGGGTTTTTCTTTGTTTTTTTTATTGTTCCCGGACTGTATTGAATATGAATGATGGTGTTGTCCTCTTAAACCAGTAATTCAGTTAATTGTCGAGTGTATTGCCCAGAGATTCAACATCACTGTAATATTATTTTGTTATTTAGAGAGACCAGCTTCTTTGGTAGGAGGAAGGTTCAACTTTCAAGGCAGAACATTTCCTCTAAAGAAAGAAGAAGAATATGATGCAGTATTTTTGGCCATCATAATTATATGTACTGTATGTATGTTTTAGAATGTGAAATAAAATCTTCACT